AAAAAAAAAAAAAAAAATGATTGGGGTTCCTGGATGGCTCATTTTCATCTCAGGTCATGATCTCAGGGTTGGTGAGTCTGAGCCTCCCGTCAGGCTCTATACTGTCTGTGAGGGGCCTGCTTGGGATTCTCTGTCTCCCTCTCACCCTGCCCCTCCTCCCTTCTCTCTCTTACAAGTTTAATAAGTAAATAAACTTTAAGGTAAAAACATTAAAAATAAACAAGTGATTTTAAAAACTGATAACTTGGACTGTTTTGAGATTGAAAATTTCTGTTCTTCCTAATTTTTGCCTCTGAATTGAAGACATTTCCCCCCTCCGCACATCAGAACGGAGTCTATTCTGGGTGGGAAAGGTATTAAGTTAGGATGGTTACAGGAACTTTCCAGCAGTGACCTACCCCAGTCCATTTTCCCTGACTGAATGTCTAAGTCCAAACCGTCCACAAGTATAGCGATGAAAGTGAATATTTTTGATTTATCAAACGAGCATTTTATTTTCCTCCCGGGGAATCTTTTATGTTCTCTTTGCTTTAACCTTTCCCTTAGTACAATATTGAGGATTTACGTCCCCACCCCAATTCCCTCCCACAAACACTATTTAAAAAGAAGGAGTTTCAGATCTTGAGTCCATTGGCAGCCATGAAGAAACTAAAGAATGATTCCTATTTCCTAAGTTCCTCAGAAAGAAAACTAAAGTAAACTAAAAGTATTGTTCCCCCCCCCACTTCTCCCAAACCTTAAATTCATTTAAAAAATTTTTTTTTCAACGTTTATTTATTTTTGGGACAGAGAGAGACAGAGCATGAACGGGGGAGGGTCAGAGAGAGAGGGAGACACAGAATCGGAAACAGGCTCCAGGCTCCGAGCCATCAGCCCAGAGCCTGACGCGGGGCTCGAACTCACGGACCGCGAGATCGTGACCTGGCTGAAGTTGGATGCCCAACCGACTGCGCCACCCAGGCGCCCCAAATTCATTTTATTCTCTTTGCTAAAAACAAACAAACAAGCACACACACACACACAAAAACAGGTGAAGGGGGAGCAAGGATATCCTAGTGCTGAATTAACTTGTCTCAGTTGAAATAATTTCCTGCAACTTTTCTCTGATTTTTGTTTTTTTGTTGTTGCTGTTGTCGCTGCTGCTGAAGTTGTCCGCTTAAAGGACCAAATAGGATAACTTTTTTTATAGATAGGAAAGGGAAAAGAAAGGAGATATCTCCCGATCTGAGTAAGGTGGGGTGGGAGGGGGGGAGAGGGGTTAATATTGTGCATGCTTGAGCTTTAAGATGTGTCTGAGTAATGAAGTATCCTGCGTAGTTACTGCTCTTAGAAACTTGAGTTTCTCTAAATAAGTAAAAAAGTTTCTCTGTCCATCGATTCCTTTAGCATCACACAAGTGGCTCTTCTGGGGACAAAATAAATTAATTATCCTAAAGATTTTTTCGCCTTTAAACAGGCCGGCCCATTTATCTTCCTCCCCTTTTGCTTGAGAGAGCAATTATCCATTCATGTGCTCCCTGGATACCGGAGGCCACTTTAGTTAAAGACCTTGTCAACAGGCCACCCAAAGGGTTAACCTTCCAGATGGAATTTAAACCTACCCGTCCTTTTAATATTTCATTCCTAGCTCCCCACAGCTGAGGCATAAGCTTGGCTTGTTTTAATTAAATTAGATCGCACAAGACAGGTGTCTTGGCAGTAAAATTGTGCACAGCCCATTTTTATCTCATTAACTGCAGTGCTCATCAAGGGTTTGTGTTTTTCTTTCTGAAAACTCTAGGTAAACCAGTAATGATCATAACAGAGTACATGGAGAATGGCTCCTTGGATGCATTCCTCAGGGTACGTGACTACTTTATATTAAACCCAAGAATGTCGGTATTTAGAAAACTCTAACAGACTCCTTGCGTCCATTCTGTTTAGTTGTATTCATGGAATTTTTTAATGGGGCAAGGGAAGAAGAGGAGAAATAGAGAATGATGTGATTTTTAAAGGCTATTAAATAATCCATGTTCAATGAGGGTGGTATTTGATTTATTCTTGCATTGTGGGGCTATGTGAGCCGTAGATTCATTACAGTTGGATAATTTCCATCTACCACAGGAAGCAAACCCAGTTCTTAGGATACACTCTACTAGTGAATTAGTGACTTCGGTCAGAAAGGTCCGGAAATAGTGTGGCATTTCATTGCAGGCTTGATACAGAAATCAAAAAAGATCTAAGTAATAATAAATGCTTTGGTGAAAATTAATTTGGCCTAATGCTAATGAGATTTTTCCTTATTCCTTTCCTATGCAGAAGAATGATGGCAGATTTACTGTCATTCAGCTGGTGGGCATGCTTCGTGGCATTGGGTCCGGGATGAAGTATTTATCGGATATGAGCTATGTGCATCGAGATCTGGCTGCACGGAATATTCTGGTAAATAGCAACTTGGTCTGCAAAGTGTCTGATTTTGGCATGTCCCGAGTACTTGAGGATGATCCGGAAGCAGCTTACACCACCAGGGTAAGGAGGATTTGCGACCTCTGGGTTTTGACTCTGATGAAACTGTTCCTCTTTTCTCACTTTGATGTTTAAGCCCTTTGTGATTTTGTAAGTTTCCTCATCCTTCAGAGCCTCTTCATATCCCCGCATTCATTTTCAAGCTGTATTTCTGAGAGGGATTTTGAAACCGCCTTAAGATGTGTGACTGCTTTAAAAACTGCAAACTAGAGCTTTGAGTAATTATTGTATTTATTACACTTATTTTTTCTTCTTTTCCTTCCTTCCTTCCCTCCTTCCTTCCTTCCTTCCTTCCTTCCTTCCTTCCTGTTTTAGATTTTCCATTTGATTCTTTTCTGTTATTAAAAAGTCTTCTTATTTTAAACAAGGTAGAGCAACGTTTCTAGTTGGTTGGCCACTGAGTCTGAGAATGTGTATACAGGATTTATAAATCATTTACACTGTGCAAGGAGTTTTCAACTTTAATGGCCTTCGTTTACTCCTGGTAGATAGGCCGGATTAGGGCACAGTTAAGAGTCATCAGTATACAGTTAATGGCTATCCTCTCTTAGCTGGACAATCTGAATATAAGATACTAATGGAATAAACAGAATCCTAAAAGTGTTTGGCCATTAGGGCTGGGCACTGCTGAAATCAACGGAAAGCAGACATTTTCCTCCTTTGATGCTCACTTTGCATTTACAATCCTAAGCATTGTTTTTGTTTGTTTGGTTGGTGGGTGGGTGGGTGGGTTTCTTTTTTTTCCCTGGTAGTGTTCTATGGCCGTGGCTCTAGCTTTGAAACTTACACATATATCCACTTTTGAATTCTAAGTCCATTCATGTAAGAAAGAATGCATCTTTGTGAATACTGAAGATCTTGTATTTTTACCAGTTATTTGGAGAGGAAGATTAAAGGAGGCTTTGAGAATGATCCATTTACGTGGATTAAACCTTAGCCAACTAGTTAAGGAAGGTGGAAGGCAGCGCAAGTGTCCTTCTGTATAGAACAAGTAGAAATGTAACACGCTGGCTTTTCAGTGTTTCAGTCACACTGCAGTGAATCAATGTAATTTCTAGGACTGTTTAGTGTCTTGTTTAGCAGCCTCAGTAAAGCAAGCTTTCAAATGATGTTCTCTGGAACGGCTGGAGTCTCAAGTTAAGTTGTATTAATTTCCCCAGATGGAACCTGAGGAAATTTGAAACTTGATTCAAAACCCCTTTCACCTAAGTGTAATAACCAAACAATAGACATTTGGGGCAAAGAAAAAAAAATCAAGCACCAATTTTAAACTTTTTCTGGGTAATAGTCAGTTCCTTTGCCACGTTTGCAGGTGCCCTCCCTCCATTAAAGTCAGTAATGACATTAGCATCTGCTACTTGTCTTCCTCTAAGAGCCTGCGTAATGTATTACCTTCTAACCATGTTAAGCATCTTTCTCATGCTATGTAAAAGTAGGATGGCAGTGTGGAGGATAGAAAATTTCGTATTTAACTTCCTTAGTTCATGACTCCAGAAGCAATATTAAATATCGCCATTGTGCTGCTGGGTGAGAGAATTCAGCAGGAAGTCAAAGTGAGCGTCAGCTACGCATCCACTGATATACCGTCATAACATATGCATGTTGTAAATCCTGCGATTTCCTTTCTCCTACAATATCACCTGAAGCAGAACTCAAATAGGTAGGCTCTTTAAAAAACAATTAAACAGACTACTTGTTCACTTCCCTGTGACCAAAGAAAACACATGAGAAGTGTCTCAACTTAGAAGACTAGTTAAAATAAACAAGTCTCTTATTATTGTTTGGAGAGCTATCTCAGGAATGCTGTTGTCCTGCTTGGCAAACAGGACAGAATGTAAGAACATTCAGGGACTAAAATGGCACATCAGTGATGTACTTAGGGAATAACTTATGGCTCGAATGTTCACAGGGTGGCAAGATTCCTATCCGGTGGACCGCGCCAGAAGCAATTGCCTATCGTAAATTCACATCAGCGAGTGATGTATGGAGCTATGGAATCGTTATGTGGGAAGTTATGTCATATGGAGAGAGACCCTACTGGGATATGTCCAATCAAGACGTGAGTCTTTATGTTCTGAAATATATGTCTCTGCATTGAGATTCAGGAAGGATTGCATCAGTGTATGATGGAGTAGGCTTGAGCTTGAAATGATACATGAAACTCAAGATTCTCAATACAAATGTGTGTAATAATCTCGTTAAACCCCACAGTCGTGGATTTCAAGGACCAAAATTACGTCGCCTAAATGGGGGCAGCATGAGAGACCAACTCAGTAGATTTATATTTTTATCTATAAATTTGTAGATTTATATTCGATAGATTTATCTTTTACGTGATTAATGCTCCAATCCACAGTGGCATACAATTCAACTTTGATTTCTAGGAAAATACAAGGATATATGAAAAACGCAAATTTCACATGTGAAAAAATGGACACCAAGGGTTTATCTGAAGAGAACTAGTGAATATTTTAAAGCTGGCATAGTTGTAATTAGAGCTTGCCCCTTGAGGACTCTAAAATAAAGCTTCACTAAATGACCCTTTGTAAATTATGCACATCCCTTTAAATGTACCATCTGGACTACTTCGTAAGGGAGTATCCACAATGCCTGCAATTTCAGAAAAGCATTCAATAATGACACTAATAAGATTCCAGAGTAATAGAATTTAATTACAAACATCTCCAGTGAAAAAGAAGGAAAAAAACAGAAAAACAAAAAACTTGGACCAAGGGGTCTTCCCGGAACACTTGTTAGTTGTACGTGTGAAGTAAAATATTAGCACACAGGGCTTCCAAAGGCGTGGCCTTCAATTTCTCAGTAAAAATTACAGCTTAGAAAAAAAAAATCTCCTTTTCAAAAATTTTCTCTGATGTGGAATGCCACGTGCCCATCTGCTTTGTCCTGAAACAGCAAGAGGTTGCACAGCCTTGGCTATTAGATGAAGAACTCGAGAAATCGGATGCTGGTTGCCTTATCAATAAAATAATGTTCAGAGCGATAGAGAAACTAATGCACTCCACGGCGAGGGGCGCAGAAAAGAATTCGCTAGCCAGATTAAGAGGAATGATGAGGGGCGCCTGGGTGGCGCAGTCGGTTAAGCGTCCGACTTCAGCCAGGTCACGATCTCGCGGTCCGTGAGTTCGAGCCCCGCGTCGGGCTCTGGGCTGATGGCTCGGAGCCTGGAGCCTGTTTCCGATTCTGTGTCTCCCTCTCTCTCTGCCCCTCCCCCGTTCATGCTCTGTCTCTCTCTGTCCCAAAAATAAATAAACGTTGCAAAAAAAAATTTAAAAAAAAAAAAAGAGGAATGATGGTGTTGACGTTGTGTTATCTGTTAAGTTATACAGAAAAGTTCATAGCGGGTAGGAAGAAGGCCAGCAACTAGCATAACTAGTAGGTAATTGCAGGCTGGAAAAAAAACTACAGAAGTGAGGGGTGTGTAATGCGTTGTTTGATGTGATTGTGCTCCAGACACCTTCCAGTACCTACCTTGTAACAACATTTGTTTTCGGATAAGAGACTTGACGGAAGGACAAAAACAACCTAAATGAGCAAGTAATGCATACCTTGACTCCTTTAACGATGTGATACTTCAACTCTCTTTCAGTTGGCGGTCGTGACCAAATGCTCAGAAGAGCAGCGACTCTCAAGATCCTGTCCGTTTCCCTGCCCTGAATATTTTCAGACCCATGGTTTTGGCAGTTTCTCTATTACGTTAAAATAATTTTTATCGTTTTAAACTTTTCAGTTGTCTGGTTTTCTCCGTGAGGAGCATTTGAAGCCATTTCTCTCCCACAGATCATGTCGGTCTGTCGTTCCCGCGTGTTTGTCTCCGTTGGGTTCTGCGTAGGACAGGAATCAATAGGAAATGTAACTGGGAAATCACTTTCATGAGTAGAATTCATTTGGCGTATGGTGAATGGACTCAAAATAACTGTCGCAAATGTGGCAAACTTACCAAGTTTTTTGTTTGTTTTACTCTTCAGCCCCCCAAAAGGATTCAGCAGTAAACTGAGAAAATATGCTTTGTTAACCCACAAGCCATCTTCCAAGCTGGCAGTGGAGAGGGGGCTAATGAAAGAGTATTAAGCAGTCTGAGGGTTCGTAACAAATTGTGTTATCCTGGCGTTAGCCCAATATTTCTCTCATTCTCATCAATTCAATGTAAAATGTTGTCATCAAGTCTAGAGTCAACACCATGCACCTGGGAAGATAAAAGAAAGTCAGAAGATCAAACTGACTTCATGTAATTGCCAGAAATAAAGAGACCAATGTTTAGTAAGATAGCATGTAGAAGTCTACTCTAGAAGGAGTAGTAAATAATACGAATACAACAGGATGTTGGCAAAAATACACGGGAGAAAAAGGATCAGGGGGCTTAATAAATCACAAGAGGACTGTCAAACTGTGTGCCAGCTGAAAAGACAATAATCATACTGATACATAGAAACTGGACCCAGCTGAATTAACTGTTTGCTGTGGAAGACCAGTTGTTGAACAGGAAATAGAAACCCCACTGCGGGGTGAATCCAGTGTGGCCACTGAGATGGCTAGAGCTCTGGTTGTTTCATTAGCAGCTACCCATTTTGATAGAAACCAAACGAAACTGATTTAAAATGAATAAAACTTTTTAAAAAATCTCCAGACCAAAAAAAAAAAAAAAAAAGATCTTTCAGAATTTCATTGGATTCCCATAAATGATGCTAATGTGTAGCCAAGAAATTATGAAATACTCCCCCTCCTTAAATTTGGCATGAGTCCTACGATATTACATTACTGGGATTCATAACCTAAAGATGGGGGGCTTTGCAAAAGGCCAATAAGAAAACTACTGTAATACCTGTGGAGACAGATGCAAAAATTTTGAATTAGAAGAAAGACTGTTAGAGAGTTAACTCACGTCTTATTAAGCAGGGAGAACTCTGGGCAATGAGACAATTACCGTCTACCATTATAACTTCTTTCCTTAGATGTGGAGAGGTCCCCTTCAGAATGTGAATGCTCGAAAAGAATTTTTTTCTTTTTTAATTTTCTTTGCTACTACTTTTTTTTTTTTAATCCACTTACTAACACCTTTTAACAGGGCCAACTGTCAGACAACTGAGACCCAAGAATGTGATGTAGCGTTGGTATATTGGTGTATTTTGGTTTTCCAAAAGGAAAAATGGTTGGCCATGTGGAGGGTTTGAGGAGAGTGCTATTTTAGAGAGAAGGAGTGTCTTCTGGATTGGGAGGTCTGGAAGGAGGGCTCCTGTACTGACCCATGAGCTGTCTGTGCAAGAGGATACAGGCTTAAAAGGATACAACGAGACGTTCATCTTGGACGCAACTATGAACGCTTCTGAAGGAAGATCTGTAACGCGAGGCTAGAGTGTCTTTTGTTACGAGGGCTCAGAGGATGCCGGATAGCAGGAGGAGGAGGGCGGTCACCATGTGATCTCCGAGAGCCAGCCCAACACCAGGCTGTTGATCTGATTGTGTTCTAACCACTTCGGAACACTGATGCGTTCTTCACTTTAGAATTTCAGATTGGCATTGCCTGTCATCTGAGAACAGCTCATGGCAACAGCTGGCTTCCCTGTCCCGTTGCCAGCAACACTCAGGTCCAGCTTTGGCTTCTGCGAAGAAATTGGTGCTGTTCCCATGCTCGAGTTTGCCGGCAGCTGCACGTCCAGGGGAACTTGCGGGTCAGGAGGATGGACCTCTGACAGCAGCTTCCCCTGGCCACTTAATATATAGCGTTCTGTTTTCTCTGATAGGTGATTAAAGCCATCGAGGAAGGCTACCGGCTACCTCCTCCAATGGACTGCCCCATTGCACTCCATCAACTGATGCTAGACTGCTGGCAGAAGGAGAGAAGTGATAGGCCGAAATTTGGGCAGATTGTCAACATGTTGGACAAACTCATCCGCAACCCCAACAGCTTGAAGAGGACGGGGACCGAGAGCTCCAGGTCGGCCATGCCTTCTTAATAGTGATGTATGAAATAATACATTAGAGGGGCGCCTGGGTGGCGCAGTCGGTTGGGCGTCCGACTTCGGCCAGGTCACGATCTCGCGGTCCGTGAGTTCGAGCCCCGCGTCGGGCTCTGGGCTGATGGCTCAGAGCCTGGAGCCTGTTTCCGATTCTGTGTCTCCCTCTCTCTCTGCCCCTCCCCCGTTCATGCTCTGTCTCTCTCTGTCCCAAAAATAAATAAAAAACGTT